TACATAATTCATAGTTCCTGGTCTCCCTAAAAAGATAAAGATTTGTGAACTAGCTGCAGCGAAGAGCTGCACACAACCACCCAGGTATTTCACCTGTTTTAGGGCTGTTCACATTTTTTTACTCTAATCAGGTGCCTTTTCTGAGTTTTGACCCTCAGTTACTGAAATAGATCCCTGGATGGCAGAAAGAACATGACAAAGAATGTGCTGCTTACATGAACTTTGTCAAAGAGTGCCAGATGTCTTTGACTGTGACTGATTGGTTTCCACATCTTTACAACTTGACCAAATGCTGCCTTAATATTCCAACCAATTAAGTGGATGCAGAATATGCAATCTCAGCATATGAACAAATGTTCACACCAGGGAAACAGAGGATGTCAGCAGCAACTGCCAGTGGATGTTGCCTACTAGTATTTAACAACTAACATGAATTGTGTCTATCAAGGTGAGCATTATCTAGTATTATTGTAGATAATAATAAATTATGATGACATTAGTTACAAATTATATTGTGTATAATTTGGTATTCATATTTCAATATGGCTTTAAATGTAATACCTAGGTTTATTAAAAAATGCTAATTTATTTGATATTTCCACAGGCTTTGCTATTCAATGATGTCATGTGTTTTTGCCTTAGCCAATCAGTGGCAACAGGCAGGACTGCCATGGCCTCTCAGCCAATCAGTGCTAAGGGGGGGCTTGCCACAAAAAGAAATCAGCTTTGCGTGCCGTGCCAGACCCACAGAAATCCCCTTTTCCCACCATGATTAGAGGTATATTGATATATTCCTCCATAGTGGAGTGGTACCAATAAAAGGAAAATTGACTTTATCAGTAATCAGCTTTTTCTGGCTGGTGTAGCTGATAATGTCACTGAAAAATGCCATGTGGATGCATGCAGCTGCAGCATGCATGTGGCCAGGAATGCAGCCTGGCAGCTTAGAGAGCAAATCCCTTTTGGTAAATCTCGGGGGGCGGTAAGGGCATGGGGGGGGCAGTTTGAAGACCCCATGATGAAGGAGGGAGTGGTGCTAGGGCAGGGGCAGGCCCTGCCTAGCTGGGGTGGGGTGAGGTGCAGAATGGAGCTGTGGGTGGCTCATCCAGGGGGTGCAGGGTGGTGGGGAAGTAGGGCTTCTCCCTGCCACTGCATGCACCCCATTGCTGGGTGCACCCCTGGGATAACTGGGGGCATGTACTCCCTGGATTTGTACATGAGGCAAGGGCAGGCTGCTCGTGGCCAGGGGCTGCACAGGCCTCTTCCTGGCAGAGGCTGGGTCAGTGCTCCTCTTGGAGCAGGTGGGGGTGG